CGCTGGGACTTTAGTATTGTTACTGTAATGTCTTACTGATAATCATGGGACCAAATATTTGTTAGACAAAACCGTGTAACAATAGGCGCAGGTTTTAAGGCGAGATTCCCTGACGAGTCTTACAAAAGCGACAACTTTGTTTAATATAAAGTTCTACATTATGGACTTGTTCAATGTTTATTACGATAGGTCTATAGACAAAGGCGAAGATAAACCCTTGACTGGCTTTGTTACGCGATAAATCTAGACGAAGACGAAGAGGAATACGCTAAATGGTATCGGTACGCAATGTTAATGTATGAACGAACGCGGTGACGATGGCGATGACGATGGCGATGACGATGGCGATTACAACAACAATGACAAATGGATTCGTGACTCGGAAATTACGGACGTAAAGTCGAGCCAGTATAACAACATACTAAATATAGATATCAATTTCTGCATGGTCTATCCCTTGCTGATAAAGATTTTGATGCAGTAACTAAATTGATTCGACTCGACGTAACTGGGGGTAGAAGATTCACGTTATGACAAGGTAAAAGCCATTCAATTATTAGTGCATTGTGTTGTGTTTATGGATAATTAGTGACGTGATCACACAAGACCCAGAAACAAAGGAGTACATGATTGCTATGCAATATGCTAATAATGGCGACCTTTCATCTTTTCTGGATAAAAAAAGAAATCAGTTGACATGGAGAATGAAATTAGAGCATTTGCTAAATATTACATTTTATCTGGATACTATCCATCATGCAGGACTTGTGCATTGCGATCTCCATGCTGGAAACGTATTCATAGGTGATCTTGGCCTCTCACAATCATAATCAGCAAATTTATGTGAACGAAATTCAAATGTTCGAGGTGTTTTGTTCTATATTGCACCGGAAGTTTTCCAGACTTATAAGTGTACTCAGAAATCAGACATATATTTTTTTACATATTTGATTGCCACTGGTGACAACCTTTTAGAGATACAGAACACACTATGGGCTTAATATGCGATATTATAGGCGGATTACGACCAACGATGCCTGATTCAGTGCCAGAAGAATACAAGAAATCGCCGAGTGGTGTTGTGATGCAGATCATAGCAAGCGTCCAAATGCGCAATGCCTTTATTATCATATCAGAGACCTTATTAGAGGGACGCGCAAGGATAAGTCTGACAAAAATATATGGAATACCATCTACCATCATAATATAACGCCTTTATCGCGTTCCGAGAAGGAGAGTAAATAATCTAGCAAGCTCTTACCTACTGGAGATTGCCTGAACTGGGAACTCGTTGCGAGATTTTAATTGAGGTTTAGGTATAAAGACGAGATGCAGAAAATGTTGACATAAAAAAGAAAGCTATTTATAAATATTCCGTATTTATTTAACTTATTATTATTCGACTTCAGGTTATGCTTAATTAAATTGGAAGCTATTGAGTTGCGGGAGGCGTTTCAGATTGTTTGGGTTTTGGGGAGAACCGATTAATGGCAACAGGGGAATGTGTACCTAATTTAGCTCCGTCTCACCGCTCTTATTACGGTGATTGTATACACTCGTAACTTTCGTTTAGCCCGAAAGTGGGGTGGGGATAATCTCATAGTCACATGACAAGAATTATGATGATAATGATGATGATGAAAATACCCATCATTTCTTATAAAGAAGTTGAGCAAGTGTTTGGTATATTCAAGTAGTATATTGAACAGTATCGTGCATGATAATAACATTGTACGTATTATACTTGAATAATAAATTAATTATACATATATACTATGTTAATATTTTGCGTTATAGTTATGTTAATCATAATGTATAATTGTCACATCAGTTGGTTCTTCCCAAAGTTGAACATTATTGTTATTAATGTCTACATATTTTATTGCTGTCATTTTATTCAAAACATTTTAATAAATAGCACGTAAAGAATGCGAAAATAACACGAAATTACTATTAAACTGCCTAATGTCTATCGCACTAATAAGGATACAGATAACACGTAAATAACGACTGTAGCTTTTAGAAATCGGTGTAACTTAGGAAACATAAGCGGGTTGGGATTATTATATTCGGTTATAAGAATTTTGGCAATAGGAATATATCTGATATAGGATATAACTGGCACAAAACGGAATGTTTGTTCGTAGATAACATTTGTTTTTACAAAATTTGGGGGAAATACAACCGGGGGTGGAATATAACTGGGTAGGGATATAAACGGAGTACGAGTGTAGTTTAATTATAATTAAAATTGAAAACCGTAAAGATAAGTGGCTCATCAACGTCTAATTGTATCCACTTCCTATACAGAGTATTGAGAACCGGTTAATTGTTTGGTTTTTTAAACTCGGTTTTAAATTTTAAATTTGGTTTGACATTTCCAAGAAACGATATTCGGGTTGTGAATTTAAATTAAATATCTCTCACAAATCGGTTGTTAAAAATACGGTTTGCAAATCCAAACCCGAAATAATTTATATAACCCGATTATTACTATTGAGTTCTTCTTGCAAGTATATAATGTATATTCAATATGCTATACGGGGGGTAATTTGGCGAAGTTAAATTGACTAACGCTAAGTAAATTTTACTTCTGTTAAGATTGTAATAACTATAATTTTCTTGATTTTGATTCTTATCGACTCCATTTAAACGCATTATCGAAATTTGTTATAAACCTTTTAATCCAATTCAATAAATTAATCATTTACCGTCTGATTAGAGCCCGTGCGGTTTTAGATAAACTTTGGGCAATGCTGTCATGATTGCATCCATTCTTGATCTCCGCTTTAAAACATTCCAATGGGCACACAGTGGTAGAGAGTTTGAAAATGCGAAGGAATTACTTGAGCGACTCGACTATATCGCAAAAACAATTACCTTTATTCCCAATAACACTTGACGAAGATAAAGATAATGATGACTTTTGACCAAATACCAGCTTCAGATGAATTAGAAAAAGTTGTATCATACTTGGCTCTCGATATTATCAGTCTTAATGAATGGTGGTAATATCATGAAAATAGTTTACCAGCTGTTACACAACGGGCTAAGGAATATCTTGTAACTTCCGCAACTTTAGTAGCCTATTTACACAGCCGCAAATCATCTAACAGCAAAGAGAACGCGTTTATTACCAAATTTAGTAAACGAAATGTTTCTGTCACAATAAATATATTTCGTTATGAATAATAAACAAACAGTCGACCTTAACAAGTATCTCTATCACGCAGAACCTTATTCTCGATCAAAAAGCATGTAGTACTGTGTTCGAAACGCCCGCCTGTCGTGCGACAATATCAAATAAATTTTGCCATCTGAGTTTGGTCGATTTATTACTATGTAAGATAAACCATCTAGGTGATGCTACAGTACAAGAATTGATATGCTGCGTAATTTTTATTGAGTACACCAATTTCTTTGGTTTCTATTGGTTCAAAAGCTACAAATTAGACACGATTTTCAAGGAGTATTGCGTCAATACCCAATAATATTAGCGCCGCTGGATATACAATGGTAATAAAAAATGCGTATGACGTATTAAAGGGATCCCACTGTCCTATTTTTATTCAGCGTAATCAGGTTTTCGTTCTAAATGAGAATTCGAATTGACTTTACACGAAAATTGGCGTTAGACTCAGCTTGACTTATTTGGTAAATGCTACATTATGATTAGGCTTACATACACAATAACTGTAGCCCCTCTCTGATTGGTAGTCATAAAATCGAATGATGTGGGACCAAAAATTTGCAAGATTCCCATATAAAGCCGGTTCCTGCATGCGAAACACGTGCATTTTAATTCTGTAATAGGTATACCATAACCCTCGCATGAATTATATTTAGCAGTGTATTGTACCCACGTCCGTGATTGCAGTATGGGAGAATGTAGGTTATCACTTTCATTTACATTTAGAAGCACACTATTTTCTGTTCTGTGTAATTCCTTCTATTGGTTATTGTATGTTGGAGTGGAATTCTGTTCGATGAAGATCGGATTATAAAAGTGTAGCGGCCATCCGATGAAAGTCAATAAAGGACAAATCTATGACAGTAGAATATACGAGAACTCCCGAGTTGGTTATTCGTGTATTCGTCTTTCTCCTTTACATATATTTGAAACTAAGTATTTGTATGTTTGTACTTTCCGACGTCATTGGCTGATCGGCACCACATCAAATTTAAAATCCCAAAGCAAACTTGAAGCCAACGGCCAATTGTCTAGTTAAACTGTTCGATGTGGACCTCGCGCTTTGGGATAATGAAGACGACCTGTTTGATTGTTATCCCAAGAGTGTTCAAATCTGTGTAATGACGCCAGCAACCGTTATCACTTTTAAGCGTTGCTATGGAATCTAAGCTCTTAAATACGTCTTTTACAGATGCGTTAGCAACCTGCAGGACCCCTCAGCCGAGAGTTGAATCATAAAAATAAAAATGACATAAGACTTGTGTAATATTAGCATTATCACCACATCACGCCACCCTTGATTTTCAATCGTCTGATGTTTGCCTATACCAATGAACTCTCACAATGATAAATCGTATGATGTTTCTGGGAACAATGAATAAACAATAGCTCCATAAAGCAAATTCTTTCTTCATTCTTCTTCCCATTGATGCAGGCATATCAATTTCCTCCCTAAGCCTTATCCAATCGACGTCCTAAAGCAGCGGACTCATAGACAATGCCCGTCATAACTTGCAACGGATCCTTTTTCAATCTCATCGAATCACAGTCAGTCTCCCAGATCACGCCAGCGGAAAAAGGTAAAGTAAGACAAATGCTGCGCTAGCAACCCGATTCAATTGTCAATTTCCACTGCGTCAGTCAATTTTCTGTATCTTCCTGCTTGATGACTGTAGCGACAGAAACTTATGCAAATGGCTCCTGCATGTTAGTTATAAAAAAATATAAGCCCTTACGATAAATCGATAGCAGATCTCGCTCGTTTTCTAGATTATTCCTCTTGTGTAAAGATTTCCTATATAATATTAACC